CCACCACCACGCCGGGACCCAGGCTCACGTTGGGGCCGATGCTGCAGTTCTGGCCAATGCGGGCGCTTGGATCCTGAGGACGTGGGGAAAGCACACGTGGGGCACTTGTCCCCCCAGACTGAGGGGGTGACCAATGGGCTGGACAAGGGCCTCACCACCAGCACGTTGCCCACGATGCCCGGGCCCGAGCACAGCTGCTCAGGCTGCTTCTGCCGCAGTGACTGCAGGAAGAGGCACATGCCGGTGAGGAAATCCTTGGGCTGCCCGATGTCCATCCAGAAGCCTGGAGGGAGGGAATGCATCAGGGGCTCAGCCCAGCCACAGGCCACCCCTCCCTGCGGCCTCCCTGCCTCACCCTGCAGCTCCATGGCATATAGCTGCCCCTCCTTGGCCATGACAGGGAAGACCTCCTTCTCAATGGATGTAGGCCGCAGCTGTGGGAGTGGGCAGCGCGTGAGCAGGGGCACGGTGGCGGCGGCCTGCCCTCCCAGCCCACCCGAGAGCGGCTTCTACACACCTGGATGCGCCGCAGCACGGCCGGGCTCAGGATGTACATGCCCGCGTTGATCTTGTTGGACACGAACACCTGCGGCTTCTCCACGAACCGGTGGATGCGGCCGGTGTCGGCCTCGCACACCACCACGCCGTACTTGGAGGGCTCCTCCACTCTAGTCACCTGAATGCAGGGAGTCTCAGGCCCTGCCCGGTGCTCCTGCACCTCGGGCGGGTGCTGTCCTACATCTCAGCGGCTATGCCGCAAAGGCTTAAAGGCTGCACAGCTCTGCACTCACAACGTAAGGACTGGGCAGTTCAAGGCTGGGCCGGGAGGCGGGAGTGTCAGACCGGGTCCTTACCAAAATGGAGCCCTCCTGGCCGTGGTGCCGGTGGAACTGCACCATGGCTTGGAACGGGAAGTCGCAGATCACATCACTGTTGAGGACGAAGAAAGGGTCTGCGGTCTCAGAGAGCAGGTCCCGGGCCAGGGCCAGGGGCCCAGCTGCGGAGGGGAACAGGTCACCATCTTCCTGGAGGTCGGAGCCCTGGAGCCAGGCTCAGCGGCCCCCATCCAGGCTGGGCCTCACCCCTTTCCAGCCCTAAACCCTCCCCCACAAGGGGTGTCCCTTCTCTACTGACCTGTCCCCAAAGGCTCCTCCTCATGCGACATGGAGATTCTGATTCCCAGCTGGAAGGGAGAAGCCGGGTCAGGTTCCGCCCACCCCCCCAACCCCCGGTGAGGCGAGCGGGGACGACGGACGGGGCAAGAGTCGCCTCAAGCCTCACCCTCTGCTCCTGCGCCTTCATTTCCTTCTCCAGCACCTGCGACATGTAGCTCACGGCCAGAATCACGT